GATAGATAGATAGATAGATAGATAGATAGATAGATAGATAGATAGATAGATAGATGATAGATAGACAGTGATAGATACAGGTGAACAGATACATGATATACTGTCATGATATAAAGGCTCAGTCTCCAAAGCCCTGCTCTTCATATTAATGTGGTAAGAACCTTTGTAGGAAAGTTATAAAATCACCTTACATCAAAGAAATTAAGGGCCCAGAAGAAAAATCGTTTGGCCAACTTCTCATGTAAAGTCTGCCTTGATCTTAATAAGAATTTCACTGTCCTGCCAGCAACGACCACCTGAACATCATCAGTAAGCCAGTGTGGTTTATCTTAAGTTCACATCCCCTCTTCTTGGTTGTCCTCATTTGTCCCCTGTCTGACTACAAGACTTTCCATCACTCTTTTCCCCACATACCTCCCAGCGGAAAATAATCCCCCTGCCTTTGTTCCACCTAAAGGCCTTCATTGACTGTCACTTTGTTCCTTACAGACTACCAGCTGTGACCAAGCATTCATACTGTATGTTGCTAAGGGCATCAAGAATAGGTTGTTACCAAGGAATCCACTCAATGGCTAGCTATAGCAGAGACCAGGCTCTCTAAATTGGGAAAAGGACCCTGATGGCACCCACGCTGCCTTAAGTGGTATCGAGACTCAGAAATTAATAACACACACAAAAAAACAGGCTGAATAACTCATTCCTTTTCCAGCGCTCCAAGGGGTGTTAGAGGATACTAGGTCTTAGCTCTGTTCCAATCTATATGTAACACCCCCCAGCACTGGCTACTCAGGAATAGCCAGTCAATAAGGAAAGGGGGAACTGCCTCAGGTTCTGTAGGAAGTTACTGCCTCACTTCTAAGTAGAGAAATCCCATGTTTCTACTTTGTTGTGTGATAGTGACTCTCTAAGTCTTATAAGCTATATCAATTCTATGTTCACAGAAGGAAAGATGGAAAAATGTTTGGGTATTTGATTTAAATTTAAATTTTCCATATTTATAGAGCAGCAAGCTAATAAAGGTACATATGTAGACATGGAAAAATAACTTTGAAGGTGGGATTCCTAGTACAGATTCCATCATGCTGATCCCAGGTGAATACGTGTGTAACCAGAGCATGCACGCATGGCTGTCCTGGAACTCACTAAATAGACCAGACTGGCTTTGAACTCACAGAGATATGCCTACCTCTGCCTCCCAAGTGCTGGGATTAAAGTGCTCACTATGCCCTGTCAAGAATAGCTAAGTATTAGTCTATAAAGTGACTATGTAGTAAAAGGTTCAGGAAATTTTTTTAGGAAGTTTGTAAACCTATCCAGCTCCCACCAACTAGATACAAGGGAGGTCGAATAACAAGAAGTCATTTTACACAATCAGCCTAGAAGTCATCCCAGTTAAGTGTCCTGGTTCCCTCTGTGAAAAACAAGACTTCAATTGCCCAAGTCTTTATTATGATATTGTTACCTTCATACTCAAAAGTCAGAGAAGGGGATTGCATCTTCTCATTGTCTTCAATGTTTCCTACCTGGAGGAAACCACGTGCCAGCCCTGGGGACTCGTTGCAATGATAGCCTCAAAGACGCGCTAAATTATGGGCTGGAAACAGCTGTCCTTGAAAACGACTCAGTCAAACCTGAGCGCTTGGAGCAGGCTCTGTGGAAGCTTTGGTGGAGAAGGTCAAGTCGCTGTCTTGGCACTAACACACTTGACCTTGGCGGGAGCCTGGGCATTCTCTCTAGGACCGTTACTTAGAAAGGGTGCCTCAGAAGGAGAAAGAAAGTCAAGTGCATGGCACATAAGTTACAGAAGAAGTCCTTCAGTGACACAGAACTTCTATGGGAGAGTCACAAGCATAGGCCCTCAGTGCCCCTGTAATTCAAGCTGTGGAGCCCCTCCCAAGCCTGTCTGCCACACTCACAGAACAGCGAAGCAGTCTCCTTTTTGGCAGTAAGAGGTCCTGCTTCCTCGGCATCTCTTCCTCCTCTTCTCTTCATCCCACTTCCAACCCTGTAAGTTTCTTCTTGACCTCTCTCTTCCTATATGTCAATCCCAGGGTAGTAAAACCTCTATAAATAACCCCCCCCTCATACATACAGCTCGTTGGAAATACCTTTTTGCCACCTAAATCTTCATTGTTGTGTCCTTCCCAGGCCACTTTCTTAGTTTTGGACCTTGTCTCTTGCATAGTCTACTTTTCCGGCCTCTGTACTGGACACCTAGAACCATGCTCAATCACAATGCCTCACCCTGCCCAGCCACTCTTAGAACTCTCCATTTTAACATCTATAACTTTATAATGAGTGTTTTACATCTTAAATCCTTTTAGCCATTTCTATTTCTGTAATTCCTACTGGCTCCCAGAAGCCCTGAGGAATGGTAATATCTGTAGTTTATTAAGTAGTCACTAAAAGCCAAAAACCATAAGAGACTTTATCAAGATAAACAACTGTTCAGAGGAGATATTATGTGTGCCTTTAACAACCAGCACATTTCTGGGAGGGAGAGATCACATAACTTGTCCCAAGGCTAGAGCCGACATCAAAGTTTTTTCCCCTAAAAGATTTCTTAAGTATGGTACC